ATCTCCTCTCTTTGTACTCCCGTAATTCACTCTTCCCATTTTTCCATGTACCGGAATGTTAGAAATTTCAGTTTGGGAAACGCAATAATGGATGAAGATGGTGACGTGGCACCATTCTCTACCCAAAAAGTCATTACCCAGTCTTTTCACACTCTTCATTCTTATTAGGAAAGAACTTCAAGAGATATACTTACCCAAAGGAGGTAGATGTTCACAGTTTACACAACCCAAAAGAATTAACCTTCTCAATTTGGTCAATGACATCATCCAATTAGAGAAATATTGTTGCCCCTATAATTAGCTAGCGCTAATAACTCTAAAGTTGGATGTGGTTGCAACTCCTCAAAAGTTGTTGATTTTGCTCCTCATCATCCGCCCCTCAAAGTCTACATCCAAACACGCAAGTTCTTCTTATGTTTTAATTCTATTCCCTTAACTTCATCCACATCCCTCAAATTTCCCAATCCTTTTATTACAAATACTCGAAGGTGTTTGAAGTTTTTTAGACATTCAATACGACATTCTTCACTATCATATTGCCCTCACTTAACAAAATCTTTCTAATGTTCGAAGATCAGTTATCTCTCCAAACTTTTTGGCATGTAACGTATCTATCGTCCCCCAATTTAACAAATGTCTCAAGTTGATTAAGTTTCCAATCCCTTGAGGCAGTTTTTTGATATTTTCAAAAATCTTATGTCTAAGGTTTTAGATTATATAATCCACACAGTGTCTCAGGCAATTCTTTTATATTTTTATTCCAAGACAAGTCAAGGTACCTCAAGTGTATTAATTTTTTTATTTCTACTGGAATTTCTTTAATTGAGCACCCAATCCAAGATAATACCTTAGACATGTAATTGATCAACTATTTGGACAAATCTATCTCAGATTCAGTCCTGAACTACAATCAACCACAAGCTACGTAGAAAAGTATTTCAGTATAAATAGAGCTAGGAATAAGGCCCCTCCTTGAATCTCTATCATTGAATGTCTAACTTTATCATAAGAAGATTCTAATTCAATTTCTCCTTTACCATCACCTCTATTGTATAACATTCATTTTGGGAAGAAAATTGAGCAAAATCATGTTACTAACGTGCATCTTACAAACGTATATCAATATCATATTCCCTTTTTGAAAATCTTGGAAGAATATGCATTGCTAACGTTTCAAAATACTCCTCACCAACTAACTCCATATCCTTATTTGCCTCTGACCTTAGTAACCTGGTGCCATCCATAACTTGATCATACATCTTTCTTTTTTATAATCCTTTGGAAAATAGCACAATTGAGAAACACTTCTTCAGTCTAGGGGACAAATCATAGTAGCTAAATAATAGAGGTGGAAAAATCTTCTGTTCTACCTCTTTAATTCCCATATTTCACTTTTAAGACACTTTCCCACTCTTCAGATGTTCTTTTAAAGCGCAAAAGACTACCTAAAGTCTTTACAGCAAGAGGCAAACCTTTACACTTTTCACAATTTTTTTACCGATTTCTTCAAACTCTTCATTGGTTTTTCCCGAAAATGCAAGTTGACAAAACAAGGACCAACATTCCTTCTCAGGAGTATCCCTAGTGAGATTATGTTGGTGGTTCCAATGGCATTTGCAACATTCTCCTTACTGTTGGTCACTAAAATTCTACTTTCTAATGATCCCACTTTAGTGTACATTTTAATTTTCCCAATTTTCAGAATTTTCGGTCCATATACATCTAAGACAAGAAGAACCTTCTTCCCTTCAATTTGTTGACTATGTTTTGCATTACAGTTTCTAGTTCAACTAATTGGGATGGACTATTTGTGAGAGATTCAGGATTGCCTTTGCAATCCTAAGCTCATCAAAAGGCTCAGAAACACACACCCATATTTTTATCAAAATGGTTATTCACCTTATAATCATTAAAAGCTAATCGAGCAAGAGTTGTCTTGCCGATTCCTCCCATCCCTACTATAGAGATTATAGAGGAACTTTGTGTTGACTACTTGACTCAAAGTAAACCGAGTAATGAATTCTTATCTTTATCTCTTCCATGAACCTTTGTGAAATCAATAGCAGAGGTGATTTTTGCCGTTCTACTTCTTTGCTACTCTCGTTGATTGTTCTAAAGTTGAACCTCTCTCTGCACAGCAATAATACCAGTTTCTATCAAGATCTTTATCTTGACGCCAATGTCATAACGCATACCAATGGCCTACACTGAGTAGTGAAGAATGAAGGAACATACCGTTTTCAGAGAATTAGAAGCATCTTCAGCTTTCTTATCTTCAATTTCTGAAGCTTGGTGTTCCACTCATCCAACACATCATCAATGTCATAGGACACGTCTTTCAGCTCGGCTAACCATGCTCTCACAATATTTTCCTTCACCTGGCGGTTCTCAGCATCAGCCAGCACAGCTTGAATTGCCCGAAATTGATTTGAAGGTTCTGAACTTCTTGCTTAGCACCTGCAATCAAACTTATCCTTTCTCTCTCCTGTTGACGAATGATTGAAACAAATTGTTGCAACACAACCTCCACAACGCTTCAGCCATAGTGAAAGATTCGTAATTGATGAAAACAGAGATTGAGAAATTGAAATGGTTGTGTGTTTTTATTTCTGGTAACTGATCAATGTTTATAGTTAGAGAAAGACCAAAGGGATCTTGACTTCAACAATTTTGGTGAGAGCAATAACCGGTTTGATAATAATCACAAATGGAGGGCCCTCCACTTCTGAAAAATTTATACAAATTTTGGCTCACCCTGTACTTTTGACTAGCAGGTCATTTATTAACTCTTGCATTTATGACTAATGAATTATTATACACGTCGTGGGGACCCTTTGAGTAGAAAATATCTTTATGTGGTGGCGTTTTTCAAAATATTGAACGGTGATGACGCATTAATGGTGGTAACTGAGATCACAGCCACTTGTTCGTTACAATTTTGGAATTCAAGTGAGGTGAAGAATATCGTATTCAATTATTAAGATGAGAAAAAACACACAGCTAGCAATAAAGAATATGGGTGAACGTTGCCATCACTGAAAACCACTCAAATAATTCCAATTTAATTACAACCACCCCTTGAATCAAGTGAGAACATTAACATATTAATATAATTGAGGCAATGATGCCTTAATGGAGTACAATTGCGGGATCACAACCATTTGATCAAACTTTCACTTTTAACAACTTTTTTTTGTGAGAGCAATAATTTGGTGGTGGGGACCCATGTGTGGAAAAATATTTTTTATGCGTTGGCGTTTTCTAAAATAATTGAGGTGATGATGGTGATATCACAGCCATTTGTTTTGTTACAAGTTTGCAATTAAATGGGTGACATTGTAGCCTGAATGCGTGTTGACGTAAGCTTAGAATTGCACGAAACTTTCATGACAAATCTAGTTAATGACAACACGCAATTGGGAATCATATGAATTTCCTAAATATAATTTCTCTAAATCTAGAGGTGATTGCATTAATAAATAATAAATTTAGCTTAGGGCATTAATTTTCCTTATACAAGTCAGAAAAGGCCGGAGCAAAATGGGCTGCGGATTTCTAGTTTTTAAGGCCCAATCCCATCATCTTTTTTTTTTTTTTTTTTTAAATTTCTTGGGAAAAAAAATCTTAAACTTTTTATTTTTTAAATAACAAATATTGCTTGAATTTCGAAATAAAGATTTTCTCCTTAGGTAATTTTTATAGGTTGGAATTTTTCAATTAATTTGTATTAAGTCATGAAGAGTGACTAGTTGACCGTGTTTTGCTAAATATAAATGAAGGTGAAGATGTAAGTGTTTTTCAACTTTGTTTTCTGAAAAAAATTTAAGATTCTAAGTTTGATTAAAATTAGTTACCTTAAGAACATAAAGTAGTATGATTTTTTGTCACGTAAACTTTTATGTAAATGTATATAAAATTATTTCGATTCAAATACTTCTTATTTAAATGAGTTTTAATTCTTTGATGCTCATAATATTTTGTTTGTTCTTGGTTGAACAATATTTCATAGCTCATTTGTTGATTGACTAAAGGGCTTTTTTTTTTTTTTTTTTTTTTTTTTTTTGGTTAATCTTTAAGTCAATGTAAATAATTTTAATAGATTAAGATGTTTTAGGTTTGTTTTTTTTTTTTTTTTTAACTTATGTCTTATTTTCATATATATATAAGTAAAAAAACTAAATATTTTGTTTTTATCTAAATACAAAAACATCTTAATCAATAATTTTTTCATTGTCAACAATATCCCTATTTAATTTATAAATTATGTATTTTTGTTCTTCTATTAACTTTTTTTTAGGTATTACATTAAACAATTAGGTATTTATATTTATATAATTTTTTTTTATTTCACATGTTTGATAATTTAAAAAAATAAATTAAACATGTAAAATATAAAATTACATTATATTTAATAAGGATAAATGTGTCAAAACCACCATATTGTTTGATAATTTTTATTTTTTATTATTTTACTTATGAGGTAGGGGTATTAAGTCTTTTATCTACTATTAATTATAGTAAATAGCATTATGATTTAAAATTCATAACATATTGCTCACTATTATTATAGGGGTATTATTGCCATTTACTGCCTATGTCTATCCCTCATGCACGTTTCTCCTTTGTACCGCTATCTTCTTCATGCTTATATATATTTTTCATGCATATTTTTTCTCCAAAATCTATTCAGATTAACTGGAATAACACTTCTTCTTCTTCCTCTTCATGCGGATAGTGTTTTGATGGTATGCTTTCATTCTATATATATAATCCATTAAATAATCAAAATTTAAGCACAAATTCAAATATAAAAACAAAAAATACAAATCAATTGGCAACTTTTGGGAGCTCAGAATTAGTGCCATACTAAAAGGATGTAACAAATTGCAAATGCTAGATGGTTCCGATCTTGAATATCCAGAAGTGTATATAAATGTTAGTAAAATAATTAATGTCAATTTACATTTTTTTAGGTGCGGTGCTGCAGTTGTTCACACGTTATGGAAGCTGATGTGGGCAGTCATAATAGTTTCCTGGGCATTTTTTATCCCAATGACAGCTCGTATGCCAATGACGACCTTACTGATCGGGAGAGGGAGACATTCAAGGGGCTCGCTTCGGAAGAGTGCCGCTTTTCTTTTGCCGACCATGTAAGTTATTAATAATAAGAACGTTTTGATATTAGTTATATCTAATAATATTTTACTTTGTTTTCGGTTTGATTTGTAGTGTTTAGTCTCCTATCGAGTGATGTTGATTGTGTGGTATGCTATGGGTCCGCCGCTTGCGACACAAGGCGGAGATGGAGAGTCGACTGGTGACGGTCAACTGATAATGCTTTATATGCATGGTATGGAACCATCTGAAGATGATTACGACTTGTCTAAGATATCGCAATGGAAAGTTGAGAGGACGGTAAGAAGTTCTTTTGATCCTAAGACTTTATCACGTCAATATTATGATAAAGTTTCTTTCTTAATCTTTCAAACTTTTTTGATTAATTTAGGTTGATGGTAAACTATTCGATGATATTGTAATTGTCGCAAGCTCCCTTAATGGTGATAATTCTTCTATCAATGCTGCTATCGATGATGATCCTGACAACAATGACAATGGTGGTGGTGGTGGTGACCGTTCATGGGAGATCACATCAACTCGTGCTTATTTTATTAAATTGAATGATTATGATGTGATATAGGTTATACTAGATGTATTAAAAGGTTATTGTTGAATTTCAAGATGAATTTGCTTTTGGGTAGAATCTCTTTGAATAACAATCAAATGGTACTATTTTGATGATATCCAAAATCATACAATGCCAAAATTACAGGGGCATGAAGTTTGAGCGAACAGCACTTAAATTCCTAGCTTCCCTTCCATCTCTGGTGCACAATAACACCACAACTTCTCAGAAAATTTTCATGCACGACTTAACTATGGCATGTTACATGTTGCCCATCTATTCACTTTGTCGCGATCATGCAAATCCTCTCGACTGTTGCATATTCGAGTGAGACGCCACAAACAGCAGGACTCAGCAATTAACAACACAACCCATATCATAAAACAACACAAAACGCAATTCCTTAAACTATTCATTATGTTTTGGAGCAGAAGAACACCATTACCTTGAACTGGACCCTTGAGAAGGTCAGAAACTGAGAGGTCTTTCCGCTTAGTTAAAGTGACATGTCGAACGTTTAGTTGGGTCAGTGTTAGTGTTAACGTTGTCGCTCTTGAGTTTTCTTGGAGCGTTGGGGTTGTAAGAAAGTCTCCGTTGGGTGTCGTAGGAAGCTCTCAATCTTAGTAACGGAGAAGAAACAGAACACTACTCGGCATTTTTGTTCGTGCTGTTGCAGCCCTGGTGGGATTTGTGAGAGAAGATTTTATGAAGAAATAAATGTGATAATTCTTGAAGACGGTCAATTTCAGAATGGTTTCTTCTGAAAATTTGTAATTTGGAAATTGATAATTGTAAATATTTAAACAATACTAGACCTATATGTAGTAATTTATTTTAAATGGTTATTACCGAAATTTGAGATTTTCATGGCCTATTTTTTGAAATATAAATATCACCTAGACCCCTAGCGTGCTTCTATGATATTATCCAAATAGGGTCGTATCAAATATTATCCATTTTCGTGAGGTAAATATTATTTAGAACCATGTTATTTACGTTTTTATCCTTTAACCTCTACTTGTATACAATATCCTATTGACCCCTATTCTTTATATCGTTTTATCATAATTTTATTGTTTCTTAGACCCTGTAAGTTTCAACGATATTAAATAAGCCCAAGGTGTTCTAGGATCTAATTTTCCCCTTTTAGCAAAAATTATACTCTGATTTATTGAATCTCTTTCATATCAACCATGAAAGAAACCAATTAATTATTTCTTTGATATCAACCATGAAAGAAACCAATTAGTTATTATAATCATTAACTTAAGGTCTAAAACGAAATGACATAATCAGCCCCTAGATAAAGTGGCTTGATAAACAATCAACAATTTATATAAGCAAAGAAAATAAATAAAACAGATAAAAGTAAATGAGGCACAACGATTTATGTAGTTTATCCATTTGGGCTATGTCCATGGTAATAGTATGACAGAGATTTTTCACTATAAATCAAAAGAATAGAATGATACAATCTCTAACAAAGTTAGACATATAATAATATGAAAAAGCTGTTGACTGAGATAAGTAGCCAAAGTTGGAGAGATTATTGCTTCAATTGAGAGATGAAATGAAACAAAGAAACTGATGGTCACATATACCTCATTCCATTTTCAGCAGTATCCACTAGAGATGATTAATTAAAGTGACACTAGATTCCTGGTATGTTCTTCCATCACCTGACCGAGAGCCATCAATAGATAAAACTGTAGTTTCTTCTTTTGACCAAAATGCATAGTTACGTGTTGAAGCAAATGACTATTGAAAAACAAAACTGTAGTTTTAAATTGCAAAATACACTATTATTTCAGTGAAAAAAGCATTTGCATTTGCTGACTGAGAATACTTTAAACTTGAGAATGAAGTGAAAAAAGCATCAATAGATGAAGATCATGTTGACTGAGACTGAGTTGCATTTGCAATCGATTTTTGCTTTAAGCAATACTATGCCTATAGATGAGTTATACAACTGAATCATACAAACAGATAAAAAATAAAAGACAGATTAGTCATTTTACATAAATTTTGTGCAATTTTTATCTGTTCGTATGACTCAGTTGTTAGCAAATCATTATTGTTTTGTTTTTGACATGCGGAACGATCCCGCTTAGGATAAATTACCTTACATTCTAACATCATGTACGTGGCCCATATCCAATTGTTAAAAGAAGAGTTGCAAATCTGATAACGGGCCAGCCTTAGAAAGCCCAAAAATTCTTTATAAGGGCCCGATTCTCAATTACAAGGGCCCAATTTCTTGTTCCCATTAGATGTGACATGCAATTGATTTTACTTCTCTTATATGGGTGAATGTGATGCCTAATTAACAAGTTAAAGAATAGGTATAATGTTCATATATTAGCTAATTGCTCAAAACTTTGTGGCATGTAACCTACACCATTATGCCTATTTAACAAATGTCTCAAGTTGATTAAGTTTCGCATCATAAGTTCTAATTTTTTGATATTTTCACAACAACAGATATATAACTCACATAGGAACAGTTAAAACATTATCTATACGAAGTAAAACAGTTAAAAAGATTAAGCAACATTTTAACTAGAGTTTGTGAGTATAGAAGGCCAATAAAAGGCAATACTTTGAGTGATTTATGTTAGGAGAAGATCTTTACTCAAAGAATAACTTTTTATTTCTTTTTTTTTTTTTTTACACTTTTCGCTTTACGCATATTTAAATGATAACTATTGATCAAACAGAGATTGAGAAATTAAGATGCGTGGGGTGCTCCAAACATAAATGCCAAGCAGCCGCCAAAATCGATATCAGAAATCAGAAATCTTTTCTCACTAACATAAAAATTGCATTTTCCAGGAGAGTAAAAAACGGAGTGATAACGCTATAAAAATGCTCTTGCTGAAGTAAAAAACAGAGTGAGAATGTTATGAAAATGCTCTTGCTGGGAGCGCCATAAACAAGGAGAATGTTAGAAGATCTTTGCAGAATTGTTCATTGAAATCAAATTTAAATATTTGATCAATAGTCATCATTCAAATATGGCATTAATAATATTTGGCTGAGATGAGAGCATTCATGTTCTTTAATACATCCACGGTTATTGTAACCTTTAGATCATATTTGATATCTTCTAAAGAGCTACTGATTTTTCTGTTTATTAACTGTTAGAGTCATGAAAATGACTCCATTTTGGTGATAAAAAGATCTCATATGTAATTGAATTGAAGTTATATTGAGACTATTAAGAGAAATTATGAATTTATGTATAAAAATCATATTTTGAGTTTTTCTTACTAATTTAGCATATTTGGGATAAATTTGGAAATTGTGTGAGTTGATATTAGGTTGTGGTTTATGGATTATGGGTGATTTTGTCTCATTTATGCTGTTCAGGGGGTAAAATATCATGTTTCAAGGGGCTGATTTTGTCAGGTTTCAATCATGCAGGGACCAAATTGAAATTTGCCAAATTTTGTATAAAACTACAGTGCAAGTTCGTAGATTGGGTGGCTGCCACCCACCAAACTCTTCACCTTCTCCGATCAAGCTCTGGCGACCCTTCAGCTCCTTTTCCGATGACGTTTCGGCTTCCCCTTGCTCCGGTCACCATCATCCCTTCATCACCACCGTGAAACACGCACACCACCGTGAGCTTCATCTTCCCACCACGATGTTTCATCTTCCCGGCCAGATGTGGCCATTTTCCGGTGACGTTTCAGTTCCCCAAGAATCGATCTCCCTTCCCCACGGCTGGATCTAGCATTTCCAAGCTTCAGCCGCCGCAAAAACCAATCCGCGATTTTGCCGCCGCGCCTCTTCATCTTCCAGCCCAGATCCTGCTCATTTCTGGCAACTTTCACCTCCCCAGGACCAGATCTGAACTCCCCATCACCAGAGCTTTCCATCGGTATCATCGGATCTCATTTCCGCCACCGTTTCCCGGAAGACCCGTCGGAAAATTAATGTTTTCTGGCGAGTGCAGCTGTTCGTATTCCGGGCTATCCGTTGGTCGTTTTCGCCCCTTTTTCGCATTATATCGTTGTTAGTTACCTCCTCTCTACCATGATCAGCTTCGTTCCCACCGTTTTAGCCTCCGTCATCACCACCATGAGCGGCTGAGTTCCCGGTTGTCTGTTACGGTGTAGGCGAGATCGAGATTGACTCCATTGATCTCCTCATCAGCTCTTGACTAGTTGGATGAGCCCGAATGTTGGACATTGGTTAAGTTTCTTGTATTCAGATTATATTTGTTTTCGTTTTAGTTTGTTTGTGATGCTTTACTATTATTCTGATGCTCGACGTGTTGAATTGATAATGTCCATTGAGAACGTTTATTGATATATAACTTTTCAGATAATTGAATGTCGGTTTGAGATTATTGAATGTTGATTATAACTTTAAATTGCTTCGATACTGATTGCAATCAAGTTGTAGTAGCGTTTAATATCATTTCTACTAGGATGCATTTGTTGTATAATTAGTTAATTGGATGATACAGGTTGATAGATTGTACTTGTTAACGTTGTACCAACTAGTGGTGTTTAAGGGTTTAGCGTTTTTCGGTTAGTTGATAATAGTCTTTAACCAATCGATCTGTAACTAAGACGACGGGGAGACATGATAGATTATACCTAGATTGCCGGAAGTCATTTTATTTATTTGTCTAACCTTATAGGTTTAGAAAATTGAAGAGCGAGGAGAGGAATTGTGAGAGTTGGTCTTGAGTCAAACCGAACCCGTAGCGACAACGCTTTTAATATTGTGTTTTAGTTAGCAATTTATTTGATGCTTTTAATTTCCTGCAAGTAATTAGTTTCCTTAGTTTTAATCAATCATTTTGCCAACTTCTCTTTCGTTAACTCCAATATACATTAAGTTATTAGTCTTACTCTCTGTGGATTCGATCATGCTTACCGCTAACTACGGTATTTAGGTTTAATTTTGTGACCGTGACAACCGGTTCAACATTAACTCCCATGTTTCTTCTCTGTTTCATGAGGACTAGGTGGAATGATAATGAATGAAGGAATTCCTAAAAATTGAGGTGAAAAATCAATGAAAAAACCCATTTGTAAAAACTTTATAACTAGTATCAAAACAACATAAAGTTTCAATGTCAATTCAACTTAAAATTCAAATGAAATTAATTCATTGGTGTCTCTCAATCTTTCTTTTACCAATGTGTTAATCAACCCAAAAGGAGCAAGAAATTTCGATTCAACATTCGGTTCACTGTTGCATGACTAAAAAGGAACATGGCTTCCAACAATTCCTTTTCTTTCTTAAGTGAATATAATCAAAAGCTACAAATATTTGCAGAAAATTAAAGATCAATGACACCCAAATTTTTACGTGGAAAACCTCCCCGATGTGAGGAGTAAAAACCACGGGACCGTAGTCCGATTAAAGTCTTTCACTATCATCAAAAATGGGAATACAGAGTCTTCTCCTGTGCAAACTAGAGGCATACAAACATCATAAACTTCAAAAATCCATCACAAACAATCTCAGCAAAAACAAGTTCAAAATATCACGATTTATGGAGAGAATAATCCCGAAAGACACAAAAAACTGCAGTTTCGGGTTTACCCACAATTAATTGCCTTACAGTTCTTGGATTTCAATCTCCACCATTCAGAAAGTAGAATTGAGTTTCATGAACAACATATCCAAAAATCAGGACAATCGGACGGCAAATGAGCTCTAGATCACGATTTGATGATGTACTGTTCACAGACTCAAAAACTCATATTTCCTCTCCGTTTCTCTTTGTTTTTCCCTCTCCCTCAAACATATATGGTGGTGGAAAAAGGCTGGATGGTGGCTGGCGTAGAATGGACAGCAGCTGGAGTAGAACACACTTCTCGTTTTTTGCTCCTACATGATGAAAAAGAAGATGAATGGGTTTTAGTTTGCAAACACATCATGGGCCTTATATCACACCCTCATATGGGAGGAAACGAAGTAAAGCCCAACCCAACATGTTGTACAGTTTTCAATCCATGTTAATTAGGGGAAATTAATTGCTTTAAACAGCTCTGAGGATATATATATATATATATATATATACGCACCATTCAATCACTGAATGCCGATAGAGATGACAAGGAGGTGTCTTTTTTCATTGAGGCCGATAATTGCACTTACTCTTGCTACGAGTAACCACTTTCCTTTGATATTGGATTCTCCATCTTATATGTTCAACTATTGTTCGTTTGCATTCAGGATATGCTGTCCCAGAAGCAGATTGAGATGAGGGACAATGATCGATGATAGAAAGGAAGAGATACGGAAAGCTCAATGTCAAGCAGCTAGCTGAGTTTAAGATAGGATACACTCTGCCCATTCGAGACTGCTGTTGCTATAAATCATAACTTTCATCCCATTTGACTCTCCATCTGCATGCATTACCACCTCTCTCTGGATTTATATCATTGCAAGACCAAGTTCCTGTCTATGCAGTAGACGCTGTTTAGGAAGTTCTCAGTAAAAAAAGTGATGAAAGATTTGATAAAATAAAGGGGCTGGCACTGCTAAAATAACTCACCCAAAAAAAAGCATTCAATTTGACTGGGCACATGTTCATGTCTATGTAGTACATGTAGTTTCGAGACTTGTCACATCTTGTTGCCATATGGTATATATTTCCTCCAGAAGATATTGTGCGGTCGTGAGATAACATGACAGAACTTTAGAAGGAGATTAACAAGTATCATGATAGAAAAATCAAAATATCTTGTATTTGAAGCAACACAATTTTTGCGACTATGGAAACGTGATCTGAAATATATCTACAAAAATGCAAACATGAAATTAATTTCTACTTTCAAACAAAGGACTTGAAAGTTTCATTCTTTATGGGAAACAGAAGAATATGATTAACTAATAAAACTTATAGAGCAAGTTTATTGTCATATATAACAGTGATTTCTCATGAAAAGAAGATTCAGGATCATTGTTCATCAATGTGTAGTACAACATTGAAACGAAGTACCTAGGCAAAAGGATTCTGCCAAATAATCATTCATAGAACTCTTCATACAGGCAACCCTTGTTGATGATAGGTTGAAATTCTGGGCTGAGATGCTTAATTGGATAACACCTTGGTTACATCCACAAAAGGTTGAATATATATAATCAGTCAAAAACCAGATAGAAAAGATGATAGAATCCAAAAAGATTAAAATATGTTTCTATTTCCAATGAGCAACATGAAATTTCATTCAAAAATTTCTTTATCAGTGAATTACAAATAACTCGATTCACCGTTGCATGACTAAAAAGGAACCTGCTTCAACAATTCCTTTTCTTCTCGAGTGAAATAATCAAAAGCTACAAATATTTGCAGAAAATTAAAGATCAATGACACCCAAATTTTTACGTGGAAAACCTCCCATGTGAGGAGTAAAAACCACGGGACCGTAGTCCATTAAAGTCTTTCACTATATCAAAAATGGGATACAAAGTCTTCTCTAGTGCAAACTAGAGCATACAACATCAAAACTTCACAAATCCATCACCAACAATCTCAGCAAAACAGGAACAAAATAACAATTTTGGAGAGAATAATCCCAAAAGACACAAAAACTGCAGTTTCGGGTTTACCCACAATTAATGCCTTACAGTGCGGATTTCAATCTCCACCATGTAGAGTTGTGTTCATTAACAACATATACAAAAATAGAACAATCAGACAGCAATCGAGCTCCATATCACGATTTGATGATATCTTCTGCATGCTTTACCACCATCTCTAGATTTAAATCATTGCAAGACAGGTTCCTATCTATGTAGTAGATGCTGTTGATATCTTCTAAGAACTACTGATTTTTCTGTTTATTAACTCACCTGTTTCTTCTCTGTTTCATGAGGACTAAGTGGAATGATAATGAATGAAGGAATTCCTAAAAATTGAGGGAAAAGTCCATGAAAAACCCATTTGTAAAAACTTTATAGCTAGTATTACAAAACAAAATAAAGTTTCAATGTCAATTCAACTAAAATTCAAATGAAATTAATTCATGGGTCTCTCAATCTTTCTTTTACCAATGTGTTAATCAACCCAAAAGGAGCAAGAAATTTCAATTCAACATCCGATTCACCGTTGCATGACTAAAAAGGAACCTGGCTTCCAACCATTGTTTTAAAAACCGAACCGAAGGGCAAACCGCTTTGATGGTCAGTCACGGTTCAACCGGTCCAATCGGTTGAACCACTGATTGGACCGATAACATCATCACACATCATGATGACATCAACACATTTTTAAAAAAACATTTTTTTTTTTTAGATTTCTATTTTTCAATAAGACAATAACAACTTAATTACTGTCCAACATGATTCAAAGTTCAAATTCAACAACAATCCTAACATAATTTTAGTATTAACAACAATTCAAAGTCCAAATCCAAACATGATGTTGTATTTACATATCAAATGACAAAATAATAATTAATAAAAAAACATTTGATACAAGTGTTTTTTCTTTGATCCGTCTCTATGTTGAATGAGCTTCACACACTAGACATCAAAATTCATCACCATCATCACCATCATCATCATTTAACCATCACCACCATCTACGCAAATTTCAGAAAAAATAAAAATCATACGTTAAAACTGTAATTTAATTAAATAAAGATACTAAGTTGCTTAAATAATTGAAACCAACCGTACTACAGCTTAATTATTAGGGAAGCAAAGAGCTGATCACAGAAAGTTATTTGAATCAATCAGTTTTCCTGAGAACTTCATATCAACGATGCAACTCAAACTCTCCCATAAAGAAAATATGAAACCTAAGAAGAAGAAATATAGTAAAAAACCATGAATTGTCCAAAATAACAGAAAAAAAAAATCAGAATAGAACATGGCAATGGAATCACAGAGATTTCAATTCAGAATCCAAGATGAATAATTAAAGTTTCAGCAGCACATAAAAAGGAAACTCACCAAAAAGAGAAGAAAGACAAACAAATACCATATAATCCATTGTCACAGAGAGATATACCTACAAGAAGCTTTCAAGGTTTTGGAAAGAACAGCATACTCCACATTAAATTTGTCAACACAAGCACATTTCAAAAACACAATGGAACACATTGGGCAGTGACCACAAAAAGAGGGACCTTCAGCGTTTAATCCAGCTGTGTGCTCAATCCAATGAAGATGGTCCAATGGATATCAAATCCCACCCCAATTTGAGTAATACTAAAAACAAAAATGACAGGTTTGAATGCTGCCTATGCAAGCAATGATAGTATGAGATCTTACACGAGAAAAGATTTATCAAGCTGTGCCAATTACTTTAGAAAATTAAGAATGTGGTCACAGTTAAACAAATTTCACCACAATGTGGGACGTGGGGCTACAAACAAAGGAGCTAAAAATCAACACATAAATCAATCCAACACAAACAAGATTCAAGAAATCAAACTTGCCGAATCAGAGCAATGTTAACCCAGCCTAATCACTCAATAACTCTCTATAACCTGCAAGAAATCAGAGACCTATCCTAGCCTCAAGAAGGAAACGCAACCCTCTCACAAATCTGCCCAGATTACAACGAGAAAGACCCCAGCAAAAAGCCCAAATCATTGCTCATTCAACACACAAGAACCCTAACAATTTCAGACTAAAAAACCCGATAGCTATAACCTTCTAGCTAGGTTTGCCTTTAGGTTCCGTTTGGGGCCAACCCAATACATAGTGACCCTTCCTTTCATCAACAACAAAAAGCACTTTGAAAGACAACTGATTCTTAAAATTGAACAGCATTACAATACGAGTTGTGAACCTGGTGAGACTCAACTCAACTCATTTTAATTCCATGACTCAACAAATTTGGATAGTGCAACAGATTGAAAAATGTAAAAGGTGTTAACTTAAATGTAAAGAGAGCGAGGAATGGTGTTACCTAGATCGAGGAATGGAGCTATCGTCAACGAATGAAGTTGTCGCCGTCGATTTCCAGCGAGGAACGGAGCGTCGTCGTCGATTTCCGGCAAGGGAGGAAGACGTCATCGATTTCAAAGAGTTCAAGTGCGATTTGGGTGGGATTTCAGAGAGAACAGAAGACAGAGCCGAAACCGTGACAATTTTCGTAGAGAATAGAGTGTTGCTTATTTCGTGAGAAAAAGGAGAAAGATGAAAGAGAAGAACTGAAGATTGAAGAAGACGAGAAAGGGGCGTGACTGCGTCGCGTTAGGATTTAGGGATTGTTAATATGTGGACCGGTTTTCTGTCGATCCAGTTGGACCGACGGTTTACTGATATTATCCGGTTTTTAACCAGTTAAAACGGCTCAATGCATAGTAATGGTTTTGAGAGTGAACCGAATCGAACACGTAACCGGTTCACTGTCCAACCAGTTGGACCGACCGTCGGTCCGGTTTTTAAAACAGTTCTTTACAATTGGAACCCGAAACGGTTCTCAAGAAACGGAAACTGCTGAATGGTCAGTGGGAGGTATTAATTCAGTGGAAAGGGTTGCCCTCTTATGAAAATACGTGGGAAGATGCAGACATTATTCAGCAACAATTTCCTTCTTTTCACCTTGAGGACAAGGTGATTCTCCTTGGGGAGGGTAATGATGAGCACCCAATAAAGATAGTGTACCACAGGAAGCATGGGAATAGGCAGTAGAGGAACATGGCCAATTATCTGCAAGGCTGGAAGTTAGGATCTGTTTTGAGTTTGTTTTAACAAGAATATTGATAGGACAGATGGCAGGTGATGGGGAACGTAGGTGGAAATTAGTTAGAATAAAGGATGACAGGAGAGAATAAAAGGAGGGGAATGAAATAGGAAAAGGCAGTTTTTGAGAGTAAAGTAAAAAGGGAGGCTACTGACCCTCGAAGTCAGTAATTGGGAGGTGTCTGACCCTCGAAGTCAGTCTTGTGATTTTCTTTTCTGATAGTATTTTTGCATTCTGTTTTTCTGAGTTATTTGCTTGAAATTGAGGATAGGACTAGTGGACTCTGACGTGTGGCTTAATCTGTAATGCTTGTTGAGGTTCAATACACTGGATTCTATTTCTATTTTGGGTAAACTTAACTTGTGAGTGCAGATTGTTGTGGTGTTTTGTTTGAGTTACAGGTCAGGTCTTATCATGCTCCAAACATAAATGCCATATAAAAATGAATTTTATGACCATGCCAAGTAGCCGCCAAAATCGAAATCAGAAATCAGAAATCTCACTAACATAAAAGATTGCATTTTCCGGGAGAGCAAAAAACAGAGTAATAATGCTATAAAAATGCTCTTGCTGAAGTCAAAAACAGAGTGAGAATGTTATGAAAATGCTCTTGCTGGGAGCGCCATAAACAAGGAGAATGTTATGAAGATGGTTGCGGAATTGTTAATTCAAATCAAATTTAAATATATGATCAATAGTCATCATTCAAATATGGCATTAATAATATTTGGCTAAGATGAGAGCATTCATTTTCTTTAATACATCCACGGTTATTGTAACCTTCAGATCATATTTGATATCTTCTAAGAGCTACTGATTTTTTTGTTTATTAACTCCCCTGTTTCTTCTCTGTTTCATGAGGACTAAGTGGAATGATAATGAATGAAGGAATTCCTAAAAATTGAGGAGAAAAATCCATGAAAAAACCCATTTGTAGAAACGTTATAGCTAGTATCAAAACAACATAAAGTTTCAATGTCAATTCAACTTAAAATTCAAATGAAATTAATTCATTGGTGTCTCTCAATCTTTCTTTTACCAATGTGTTAATCAACCCAAAAGGAGAAAGAAATTGTGCAATTCCACCATCGATTCACCGTTGCATGCCTAAAACGGAACCTTACTTACAACACTTTCCTTTTCCTTCTCGAGTGAATATAATCAAAAGCTAAAATATTGCCGAAATAAAGATCAATTGACCCCAAAACATTCTTTACGTGGAAAACCCCTCAATGTGAGAGGTAAAAAACCAGACGGACCGTAGTCCAGGCATTAAAAGTCTTTCCACTATAATAAAAATGGGATACAAGTCTTCTCTAGTGCAAACTAGAAGCATACAACATCATAACTTCCACAATCCATCCACCAACAATCCTCAGCAAAAACAGAAGCGCTGGGGCGAGGTTCGTCCAATTTGTGGAGGAGAAGAATCCCAAAAGACAAAAGAACGTGCAGTTGGTACGGTTTAGCCACAATTAACTGCATTACATGCTGGGATTTCAATCTCCCCATGTAAGGTTGTGTCTCAATTACACCATATACAAAACATCATACACTCGCTACAGCATCGCGCCCATATCACTATTTTAGATATCCTCTGCAGTCTTTCCACACCTCTTAGATTTAATCATTGCAAGCCAGGTTCATCTATCTAGGTAGTAGATGCTGTGTTGGATATCTTCTAAGACTACATGATGTTTTGTTTATTAAACTCACCGTTTCTTCTCTGTTTCAATGAGGACAAGTGGAATTTATAATGAGATGAAGGAATTCCCTAAAAATTGAGGCGAACAGTCCATTCCAAAACCCATTTGTAAAAAAACTTTTATAGCTTTATCAAACAACATAAAGGTTTCAATGTCCATTCAACTTACATTCGAAATGAAATTTAATTCATTGGTGTCCTCTCAATCTTCTTTTATAAACCAATGTTGAATCAACCCAAAAGGGCGAAGAAATTTTCAATCAACATCCAGTCCACACCGTTGCAGAACGAAAGAAGGAACCTGGCTTCCAACATGGTTTAAAAACGAACCGCAGGGCAAACCGCTTGATGGGTCAAGTCACGGTCAAACCGGTCCATCGGTTGAACCACTGATTGGAACCGATAACTCATCACACATCATTCTGACTCACACATTTTTAAAAAAACAATTTTTTTTTTTCGATTTCTATTTTCATAAGACAAATAACAACTTATTACTGTCCAAAGGCATGAATTCAAAGTTCAAATTCACAACAACTAACATACTTTTTAGTATTTACACATTCAAAGTCCAAATCCAAACATGAGGTTGTATTGTTACATATCAAATGACAGAAAAAAAAAAACACTACATAAAATTAATAAAAAAACCATTGATCCAAGTGGTTTTTTCTTTGATCCGCGTCTTGTGTTGAATGAGCTTTCATCACACTAGCAAGAATTCAACACCACTCCCACATCAGCATCATAAGACCACACCACCCACTGACCAAATTCATACAAAAATAGAAAATCATACGGTGAAAACGGGAGGTAATTTACAAGAACTGAAGTCTAGAAAGAACCACCTAGTACTTACAGCTTAATTATTAGGAATGCAAAGAGCTGATCACATGAAAGTTATTTGATCAAATCAGTTTTCCTGAGAACGTCATATCAACGACTAGCAACGTCAACATCTCCCATAAAGAATATAAACCTAGAAAAGAAATTAGTAAAAAACCATGAATTGTCCACAATCCAGAAAAAAAAAAATCAAGATAGAACATGGCAATGGAATCACAGAATTTCAATTCATGAATCCAAGATGAATAACTAACAGTTTCAGGCAGCACATAAAGGAAAACTCACGCAAAAGAGAAGAAAGACAAACAAATACCATAGATCCCATTGTCAAGAGAGATCTAACCTCCAAGAAGCTTTCAAGTTTTTGAAAGCACAGCATACTCCACATTAAATTTGTCAACACAAGCACATTTCAAAACACAATGAACAGCATTGTGCCATGACGCACAAATAAAGAGGGACCATTCAGCTGTTTAACTCAGACTGTGGTGCTCATCCAATGAAGATGTCCAATGGATATCAAATCCCCACCCCAATTGATTAATACTAAACATCAAAAATGTGACAGGTTTGTGAATGCTGCCCTATGCAAGCAATGATAGCATATGAAGATCTTTAGCCGAAAAAAGATTTATCAAGCTTTGCCAATTACTTTAGAAATATAGAATGATGAGGTCACAGTTAAAAAAACATTTCACCCACAATCGTGTGACGTGGCCCTACAAACAAAGTGAGGTCTAAACTAACTCAACCATAATCAATCCAACACAAACAAGATTCAAGAAATCAACGATTCTGCCGAATCATAGCAATGCTTTAACCCAAGCCTAATCACTCAATAACTCTCTATAACCTGCAAGAAATCAGAGACCTATCCTAGCCTCAAGAAGGAAACGCAACCCTCTCACAAATCTGCCCAGATTACAACGAGAAAGACCCCAGCAAAAAGCCCCAAATCAATTGCTCATTCAACACACAAGAACCCTAACAATTTCAGACTAAAAAACCCGATAGCTATACACCTTCTAGCTATGGTTTGCCTTTAGGTTCCGTTTGGGGCCAACCCAATACATAGTGACCCTACTTCCTTTCATCAACAACCAAAAAGCACTTTGAAATGACAACTGACTTTCATAAATTGAACCCAGCATTACAATACGAGTTGTGAACCTGGTGAGACTCAACTCAACTCATTTTAACTTCCATGACTCAACAAATTTGGATAGTGCAACAGATTGAAAAATGTAAAAGGTGTTAACTTAAATGTAAAGAGAGCGAGGAATGGTGTTACCTAGATCGAGGAATGGAGCTATCGTCAACGAATGAAGTTGTCGCCGTCGATTTCCAGCGAGGAACGGAGCTGTCGTCGTCGATTTCCGGCAAGGGAGGAAGACGTCATCGATTTCAAAGAGTTCAAGTGCGATTTGGGTGGGATTTCAGAGAGAACAGAAGACAGAGCCGAAACCGTGACAATTTTCGTAGAGAATAGAGTGTTTGCTTATTTCGTGAGAAAAACGGAGAAAGATTGAAAGAGAAGAACTGAAGATTGAAGAAGACGAGAAAGGGGCGTGACTGCGTCGCGTTTAGGATTTAGGGATTGTTAATATGTGGACCGGTTTTTCTGTCGATCCAGTTGGACCGACGGTTTACTGATATTATCCGGTTTTTAACCAGTTTAAAACGGCTCAATGCATAGTAATGGTTTTGAGAGTGAACCGAATCGAACACGTAACCGGTTCACTGTCCAACCAGTTGGACCGACCGGTCCGGTCCGGTTTTTAAAACAGTGCTTCCAACAATACATTTTCTTTCTCGAGTGAATATAATCAAAAACTACAAATATTTGCAGAAAATTAAAGATCAATAACACCCAAATTTTTACGTGGAAAACCTCCCTGATGTGAGGAGTAAAAACCACGGGACCATAGTCCGATTAAAGTCTTTCACTATCATCGAAAATGGGAATACAAAGTCTTCTCTAGTGCAAACTAGAGCCATACAAATGTCATAAACTTCACAAATCCATCACCAACAATCTCAGCAAAAACAGGTTTAAAATATCACAATTTATGGAGAGAACAATCCCAAAAGACACAAAAACTGCAGTTTCGGATTTACCCACAATTAATTGCCTTACAGTACTTGGATTTCAATCTCCACCATTCAGAAAGTAGAATTGACTCTCATGAACAACATATCCAAAAATCAGAACAATCGGAGGGCAAACAAGCTCCAGAACACGATTTGATGATGCACTGTTCACAGACTCAAAAACTCATATTTCCTCTCCGTTTCTCTTTGTTTTTCCCTCTCTCTTCAAAACATATATGGTGGTGAAAAAAAACTGGATGGTGGCTGGCGTGGAAGGGACAGCAGCTGGAGTAGAACACAACTCTCTCGTCTTTTGCTACTACATGATGAAAAGAAGCGAATGGGTTTGTTGCAGGCTCATATCACACCTTCATATGGGAGGAACGAGTAAGGCAACCAACATGTTGTACAATTTTCAATTCATGTAAATTAGGGGAATTAATGCTTTAAACAGCTTTGAGGAATAAATATATATACGCACCATTCAATCACTGAATGCCGATAGAAATGACTAGGAGGTGTCTTTTTTCATTGAGGCGATAATTGCACTTACTCTTGCTACGAGTAACCACTTTCCTTGATATTGGATTCTCCATCTTATATGCTCAACTTTGTTCATTTGCATTCAGGATATGTGTCCCAGAAGCAGATTGAGATGAGGACATGATCGATGATGAAAGTAAGAGATACGGAGCTCAATGTCAAGCAGCTAGCTGAGTTTGAGATAGGATACACCTGCCCATTCGAGACCGCTGTTGCTATAATCATAACTTTCATCCCATTGACTCTCCATCTGCATGCTTACCACCTCTCTCTGGATTTATATCATTGCAAGACCAAGTTCCTGTCTATGCAGTAGATGCGTTTAGGAAGTTTTCAGTAAACAGAGTGATGAAAGATTTGATAAAATAAAGGGGTGGCACTGCTAAATAACTCACCAAAAAAAAGCATTCAATTGACTGGGCACATTTTCATGTCTATGTAGAACATGTAGTTTCAAGACTTGTCACATCTTGTTGCCATATGGTATATATTTCTCCAGAAGATATTGTGCGGTCGTGAGATAACATGACAGAACTTTAGAAGGAGATTAACAAGATAATGATAGAAAAATAAAATATCTTGTATTTGAAGCAACCCGATTTTTGCGACTATGGAAACGTGATCTAAATATATCTACAAAAATGCAAACATGAAATTAATTTCTACTTTCAACAAAGGACTTGAAAGCTTCATTCTTTATGGGAAACAGAAGAATATGATTAACTAATAAAACTTATAGAGCAGTTTGTATTATAACAGTGATTTCTCATAAAAAAAGATTCAGGATCATTGTTCATCAATATGTAGTACAACATTGAAATGAAGTACCTCGGCAAAAGGATTCTGCCAAATAATCATTCATAGAACTATTCATACAGGCAACCCTGGTGATGATAGTTAGGTGAAATTCTGGGCTGAGATGCTAAATTGGATAACACCTTGGTTACATCCACAAAAGGTTGAATATATATAATCAGTCAAAAACCAGATAGAAAAGATGGTAGAATCCAAAAAGATTAAATATGTTTCTATTTCCAATGAGCAACATGAAATTTCATTCAAAAATTTCTTATCAGTGAATTACAAATAACAACTAATGCGTTAACTACTTCTTTACCTACTTGCAATTCTCTATCTCATTCATGCTTTTGCACTCCATGGTCTGCTAGAAAAACCGAGTATGAATATCTCAAGATAGGTATTCTTAAAGCAGAATTGACTGTCCCTTACTATGAGCAAAACAATTGAAAGTGAAATAAAACATAGTCAGGAAGTCATCGAAGGTCCTTTGATGCAGCCAGAAACTCCAGATATGAAATTCAGGGTTAAGATGCACTGATAACTTGTTGATTGCATTTATAGCTCCCAAGAAATACAAGGACTAATGATTTCAACAAATCTGGACTAGGCTGTTTAATTAATCTATAGCCTGCAACAATCAGAGAAAGAGAAAGGTTGGGCCACACTTAGATAACCAACACCAAATATATGATAAAGCAATAGCCAATGTAGTTTAATACCTTCAGTTCAAAGTAATGGCCAAAGCAGTGTAACCTTTAAGCCAATTTTGACACTCTACAAGAACAATGACTGTGATCCATCAAAACAACTCACGGGAAAACATCCCCCATAAGGCATCAGCGATTCTGCCAAAACCTCTCCGTCACATAAGAGTAAGCAACTATTTACAAAGCACACCCCTTGCAATAACTTAGATTCCTAAATATATCCAATCTCGAGCCACAATCAATCCTATAGAGACTATGCATTTCTCCACATAAAATAAGCCAGCACCTTGCATATGCTTATAAAGAGAAAAAGCCAACATGTATTTAATGAAGAATTAGTCAAATTTGAGCCAATATTAACCACTTCTCGGTTCATGACACAATTTAAGCAATATCTGTAAGTTAACGATCCCTCTTTAACAAATATTAATCACCACAAGCTAATGCTAAGGTACCTGTTTTCTCTTTAAAATGTAATTGTTATCTTATCTTCACCTACATCAAACTTCTTGATGACATACAACATCAATGTGGTCAAACAAATAGTTAATTTTCAAGAGCATTTGTCACCAAAACAAACAACAAGAAAGGACCTGTTGGACAGACGCCATTGTGTAGACAAAAGGAAAAGGAGCTAATTCTCCCAGCTTGTGTTGTACACCATGTGACATTGACTCTTGAAGAAAATATTACATGTTGAACTTCTTTGCTGCATAAGTGTGAGATATCAAAAAGGTTTCAATTATAGGAAAAAAGCCATCCAATAACTAATAAACAAAGGATATGTGAACAAACCATCTTAGCATAAAAGAATTCTACTACTAGGATAGGAGGAGCTAGATCTATCATAATCTGCAGAAGGGTCAGCAATAAGTTGAAGTCTAATATAAAATGTTTATCATCTCAAAGTTGCTTGTTCCAAATGATTTTCAAAAAAAAAAAAAAAAATTTAAATTCTCTACTATAAGTTGGTCGATTATTGCGATTTAGGAGTTGTTTATGACTAAATTAATAATTCATGAAACTAACAAGTTTGTCATGTAAATTTGTGATGTAAAACATGCTGATCAAGTAAATTAATTGCGGAAGAGCAGTAAAGATCTTACTCTTACCTTTAAAAAGTGAAACCATTAATCACTTGTTCTATTTTGTCTTTCATGTCACAAACAGCTAAATCAGTCAACAAATCAAGTAACTACTCCTGTAACATTTAATTGTGATACTTAGGAAGAATAACAAAAATTTAAACGCTGGTTTATAAAATATCATAGCCCAATTCACACATCAACTAATAAAGAGTCGCTTAAGAAAACCATGCATAGAGAGAATGGAGCTTTGTCACACCTGTTTGCATGAGTCCGAAAACAGAACATATCATGAGATAATCCCAAAGGATATAATGAAAGGATGGTGACACCATGAAAAAGAAATGTAATATGCGTTAATAATACTCAATTTCTTCAAGGTGTTGTATGGAAAGATTTGGAAAGTTTTTGAGCAACACAAGATTTATTAATGAAGAAGAATGCTACTTGGAATTAAATTTCAGTCTAGTGCTGCTAGTTCGTAGCATGTTTTTAAATTATTCCAAATCTCTAATAGCAATTTCTGAACATGTATTGTTTTGTGCACGTTAACTGCTTGGAGAAAAGCTATTCTTGGTTGAATCATGAATGGCACCACTGCTGTAGCTTAGGTTCCGGCATCAAAAACCATGAGCTAACATCCTAATCAAGCTAAAAAAGCCCATGTAATGAGCTAGTTAGAAACTAAAACATGCAAAAACTGTTGAGTTTGCATTCCACAACAAGAAGCTGAAGAGAAAATTGTTGCACTGACTGATGAAAAGAAACTAGGATGTGTATAGAGAAATGGTTTGGTTTTGTGTAGAAAGTGATGCTGACATAGACCAAAAAGATGATAAAATGGTCCAGATTCAAGATTAATAAGAAATCCTATGGCCTTATTACTAGTCCAATTCAGATCCAATAGCAAAACATAACATTACTTAAAACTGCAATTGTGCGAATATTCAGACTTCTTTCACAAGATGTCTCCAGTGCATGATTTCCTGATTGCTACAGCTTGAAAAAAAAAAGAATTTAGCATGGGTCACCTTAAAGAACAACTTTAAAAGAACAACACAAAGTCACATTAATGAAAATGAAGAATAATGATCAAAATTCTCTTGAAATAGGATGTAAGACCAGATTATGAAGTTAAAATTTCCATACTAAGTGCAGGGGATGTTAAAAACTGATCAATTTTTATGGTCAGAGAAAGACCAAAGGTACTTTCACTTGGTGAGAGCAATAGCTGGTTTGATAATATCAGAACGAATGGAGGAGCATAATGGACCGTATACTTCAGAAAATTGAAGCTAAGACTGAGAGATGTTGATCAAACTGGAGGTTTACCTGTAAGGAGAGGAATTGCCTATGGAATGATCACGATGTAGCATTTTGAGAATTCAAAGGATGTCCCTTTGCAGAATCAAGTTGAAGTTAAGACTTGAGAGATGTTGGTCAAAACTGGAGGAGATGATGATGAGTTATCAATTCACTCAAGTTCTTTCGGGAACATAACAACTAATTTCTGATTCAAAACAAATAAATTAAAAGGGAAAAGAGAGGAAATTACCTGTGTTTTAAAGAAAAATCGTGTTGAAGTTGATAATTCAGAGAACTTAATCAGAGGAAGATGACGATCAGCTATGGGTCTCTGTTCTTTAAAGAAGAGGACATCCAGATATTACCTTCTTCAACTCGTCATCTGATGGAGGTGGTTTGGTAGAGAATCAATTTGGGGCAGGCATGGAGTTCCAAGGTCTGAAGAGATGGCATGACTGGAATCTTCGTCTCCTCTCTTTGTACTCCCGTAATTCCACTCCTCCCATTCTTTCATGTCCGAGAAGTATAAAAATTTAGTTTGGGGAACGCAATAATTGACGAAGATGATGACGTGGCATCACTCTTATTCCTAAAAACCATTACCCACTCTTTTCACACTCTTCATTCCTCCATCCAAAGAAATTCAAGAGCTGATAACTTACCCAAATGAGGCAGATGCTCACATTTACACAATCCCAAAGAAATAAGCTTCTCAATTTGGTCAATGACATCATCACATTAGGAGAAATAGGATTACCACTGTAATTTTGTAGCCAATATCTCTAAATTTGGATGTGGTTGCAACTCCTCGAGAAGTTGTTGATTTGCTTCATTCATCCTCCCCCAAAGGTACCCACAACCACGCAAGTTCTTATTGTTTAATTCTATTCTCTTAACCTCATCACATCTCTCAAATTCCCAACCCTTTATTCCAAATTCTCGAAGGTGTTTGAAGTTTTTTAAACATTCACACGACAATTCTTCACTACCATAATTGCCTCACTATAACAAATTTTCTAATGTTCGAAGACCATTAATCTCTCCAAACTTTTTGGCATGTAACTATACTATAAGTCCCCCAATTAACAAATGTCTCAAGTTGATTAAGTTTCCAATCCCTTGAGGTAGT